CTGAACCGGGATGCCTTCCTAGGAATGTAGGACTGTCAGAGTTAGCAATATACGTTGTTACTGCTTTGCCTGTATCCTAATTTGAGCCAAGATTAAGGATAATAAATATCACAAGTATTGTATTGTGAATGTTGCATTAAAAATACATTTTAAAAAAGCAAACAAGTGCAGAAGTATACATAGAAAGATTTCCCAGGTTTCTGTATTGCTGCTCTTTTTTTTTCCCCTAACATCTGTGCTGACATTCTCTAAGTGTTTGTTCTTCTTTCAGTCTGGTATTTGTCCCAGAGACTTGTGAAGAGTATTATTGCAATCATCTTTTAACTGATATGGCAAACCTTTAAGATTTCTCCCAAGGAATATTTACTTCTAGGTCAATGAACCAGAAATATCCAGAGTGGCAGTTATAACTTATGTGTCTCTGAGTTTCAGCAAGCTAAATCTTCCGGAGTCATTCCCAGCTTTGGAGTCTAATTTCACACGTGATCATGTATTTAGAAATAAAGCCTCTTATTTAAAAAGTTGTCCTTATTTGAAAGTGCTGTATGTATGGGGCAGCTGAATCCGGTTGCTCTGTGAACAGTACCAATGGCCTGACCTGGCTGATCAGGATGAAAACCCGTTAGTGGGAAAAAGTGTGCACATTCCCCCAGAGATGCAGAGAGGTGATATGGATCCCTGTATTATTTTGTCTCTGCAGGTGCCTGGGTCTCGCCAGGGGCTGGCAGCCGGCTGCCTAAGCCCCAGAGACGCAGAGCCCTGCTCCAGCTGCTCGTGTTCAGACCCCATGGGTGCGCTCACACACACGCATGTACCATGTCTGTCCCTCTGTAACTGTCCTTAGGCGCTCGGTCAAACCGGTAACTGACCCCGCATGGCCTGGTCTCCCAGCTGCTGCATGTACAGGCACAGATGTGTCCCTGGCCCAGACCTGGGGCCTCGCTAGTAGCTGCCCCCAGCCCAGCGCTTGGCCCAGACCCTCCAGGTTCTGCTGTATCTGGTTCCCAAAACTCCAGCTGCGCTGGCTTGGGGCCTGTTGGTGATGGCGCAGGCAGTGAGGAGGTGTGGCCCCTTCTCCCCTCCCTGGCACTTCTCAGACCTCTGTGCCCCAGGGCCCAGACAGAAAGCGTTAAAGATACAAGAAGCCAGGACAGACTGTCATTCAGATTGGCGTCCCACCGTGAGTCCTCTTCCAGGCAGAGGCCCTTGCTGGCTCTTTTAGGCGACCCCCGAGGCCTCTCCTGCCCACACCTCTGGGGGTCTGTCACCCTGGAGCCAGGCCTTGGGCTGACTGATGGCCTGAGGAGGAGCAGGGCTGCTCCCCCAGTGCTGTGTTACCGGGGTGCCTCTGCCCACCAGTGCATCCCTGCTGCCTTTTGTTTGTGCAGATTAGCCTTTAATTGTGGCACTTAACGTTATAGGTAGTTCTCAGGCATGCCTATAGATTTTGTGGGACGACATATAAGCTGTAGTCATACCAGCTGTAGGAATGCTATGAGCACGTTTGCAGGTGAGGGAACAACATTATTTCTTGGTCTAGGTTTGTTTTTTTTCCTAGATGTCTCCGTGACGAATGCTGAAAGTACTGGTTTAAGTCTTTATATACTTCTGTGTGTGAGCATGCATAAAAACCTGCCTTCTTCAAATAAACCTAGGGCTCTGACAAATTAAAAGTCAGTTGAAAGGCTTTCTGTTACAATTTCTTTCTTAAACCTTTGAGAAGAAAAGTGTTAAAAGGTGACTCTGAGAGACCAGACTGCCTCTCATTAAGCTTTAGGTCTTGTTACATCCATCTATGCTGGATCCAAGAAACAGAAAACGTCTTTAGGGGTTTAATCTCAGATGCCCCGATTCAAAAGCCAGCTACAGGAAGCACCTCGTGAGGCCTCGCTCCACCAGCCTGGAGAACAGCAGGAAGGGAGTGAAGGAGAGGTGGTTGAAATCATCCTCATCAAAAGGCCTGTCCTATCAGGAGAAGTTGTCAGGTGAACATAGGGGAGGGCTCGTTCCAGGTTGTCTGCAGAGAAGATCATTGGACAGGTACAGGATTGCCCAGCTCTGCTGCTCAGGGCTGACCTTTGAGCAGCGGGTGACCACAGCTCTCCCTGTGTGGCCCTGCGAGGGTCTTGCGCATCCATCATTGCCCTCCTGCAGCGACCTTCGTCAAGCTTCTGTCATCATCTCCATCGGCTGCTAACAAAAGTACCTCTCGGTAAAGTTAGTGTGAAGAAGTAGAAGGATCTGGTCTGTTTCCTGCCCTTTTCAGTCTGAGATGTAGCTTGACGTACTGTTAAAGAAGCTTTGGGTTGTAAACTGAACAAGCCCCGTCTCGTGGTCATCACAGCTTTGCTTACGTAGTAAAGGTGAATATTACTTGTCCTCCTTGCAGAAATACCAATGCGAACAAGATCAACGGCCCTAAAAAAGTGTATCTTCCGTTCCCTTTGGTTTCCCATGGATAAATGCTGTCCTTCTGAAGAAAATCTTTTAATGTTCCTCTGCGTGCAGTTATGAATGGAACAGAGATAGGATAAAAAGTCTCCGAATTAGATTTTAATCCCAGGACGTGCAAGGTCAAGCTTGACAGCTCCTCTGAACCAATTTTGAAATAAAAGGGCTTGGCTTTTTTCATGAAATGCGAAGTTTATCTGAAAGGCTTTGCTGCAATAATTTTTTCAAAGGATGTTAAGCTCAAGGTGTCCACCAGAAAAGCATGGCAGAGGGGAGCTTTAGCTCTGAAAGCTGTTTTTTTCCTGAGAGCTACTTCTTGGTGCAGAAGTGGTTCAAGGCTTACCTGCTATTAGTTGCACCACCATTGAGTCAGGAGAGTTACAGAATGAACTTGCTGAAATGAGACAGAATTTCCTTCTTAGCTCAACATATGTGGTTCAGATAAATGTGTTCTTATTTCCTTCTTTTCCTAGGAATTTTCCTCTGGCAAAATTGAATGTTTCAATGGACACTGTTTAAGATCAAATAGAAAAAACATGCCACCCTGTTCGGACTCTAGCTTTGACAAAAGCATGGAAATACTAAGTGAAAAAGTCAATCAAAGGCACTTTACGAGGTATTGTATTTTGCGCTGTTCAATCTCTGTTCAATTTATAGAATGAAAAGAGAAAGCATGCACCGTGAGTCACATCATGATAAATCTACAGCTAAAAACCTGCAGGAGAATATGATTCTGTTAATGTCAGTGCCAGTATTTTAGAACTAGAATCCCTCTTCTTAGTAGAAGTCTTCTGCTTGTATAAAAACAGTGCATCTTTTCACAACTCCTTTGAGATCTCTCCTCCACTTTGGTTACTGAGATATTATTTGCCTTACTGAGACTTAAAGATTAGCAGGTTAGGAAATGTCTCTCCTTAAAGAACTGTGTGCATATGGTATGCAGCAGAGTTGGGATCTGACTCCTCCTTGTGATACACAGGCTTGGCTTTGCATGACGTGGAGCACTGGATTGTAAACTTGGTGAAGTTCCCCAGTCTTGAATCTATGATATGATACTTCTGTACACTAATTCTAATACAATAATTCTTTTTGCCTTTCCTCTTTCTTAATGTAGGCAATTGGCAAAGCCAAAATCAGACAAAAAAAAAGAAGACTATAAAGAAGGTGAGTCCTGGTAATTCCTTAGGATTCCTTTTTAGCCTGGTTTCTGAGAAGGATTGTGTTTGGTCACTCTATTTCACTTGCCCCGAAAAACTTCTGAGCTCATCAGCCAAAATCAGCTGAAGCTGTGAGAACAAATATCTGAAAGACAGTGAGTTTCCTATGAGTTTTATGGAAAGAGGTAGGTGCATATAGGAGGATATGCTTTTAATTTCTTGGGGAGAACGCAGTGTGAATTCCAGCCTGCTGTTGGGCACTAGAGAACCTGTTCCTTAGCTCAGGTTTCTTCTTCATGGGTGACAGGGATTTTCTGGAGTCTGCAGGGCACAAAGTGATCGAAAATCATTCTTGCAGATGGGAGGGATTATTGTAGTATCATAATATATGTGAGTTAATAAGTAATGTGGCCATGAGACGCCCAAACCCACTGACGTGGGGAAGGTGTCACTGAAGTCCAGTGATTTACCTTGCAACTGAACTGCCGTGCTGAGTACACAGGCTTGGTTGGTGCCATGAGGCCGCTTGCTGGCAGCTGGGAAAATTTGTTGGCTCCAGGCAGTGTCCTGCCGGCCACAGGCTGAACATGGGAAGGAGCCTGAAATGCCCTTTGTACGTAGTAATTCAAGTGCTAACCGTGCGCTGTAAATTGTTATTTAATGAGCTCAAACGTAGTTTTATAGTTGGTGATGATGAGATCAAAGCATCGCTGTGTTTATACTGCCACGTTGATGTACCTGCTGCTTTCTGACTGACGTCTCTTAACTGTTTTAGTGATAGTGCAAGTAATGGACCTGTGGCAAGGGATGCTGGGAGGTAAATACTGGGCAGTTTTATTGTAAAGCAAGCAAGCGTTTGAGTTATTTCGTATTTGATAGTTTATCTTGAGGCATTTCATATCTTCTAGAGCTTTTGTGTCACGGTGCAGCAAAGGGATGCGTGCTTAAACAGCATACTAAAAACATGCATTTTAAGAACTTGACACTTCCCACAAAAACAAATTTTTAAAAAAACTGTTAAGATACAATTTTTTGTGAATGGAGTAAAAACACCTTTGAGAGAGGAATTTGTTGCCTTCACTTTTCCAGAAAGAAGTAACTGGAATACATTTGCCTCCTGCATGGAACAAAAGTTGTGTGTTTGTTCTCATCAGATGGGCTTTCCAGTCTATTTAAAAGTTTCTATACAAGTCATGCTTTTAAGTAGGTAGTTTAAACAGAAGGAATTTAAGTTGAATGCTGTGGTTGCGACAGTAACTTCTAATTCAGTATTTAAAGAAGAAAACAGTCCACTGGAGATTTTTTTAAATTTACTAGAGCAATGGTAAAATAAAGTGAATAACCTATTTTCTGTCTTAAAATATTTTCTGTATTAATGCATTTTAGTCACCAGAACACTGAAGACCAGAGCTGGTGCAAGAGCTACAGAGCAAGTCCATGAAGAAAATGGGGATTTGGAGGTCCGCCGAAGCTGCAGACTTCGACAAAGTCATTACACCACGACAAATCAATCTGTTTTGTTTGATAAACTTATAACCAAGTAGGTGTTTTTTTCATTATCTTGCAAGGCTACTAAAATGAGCCTAGGGACTTTCTCCTCCTTTTGACAACAGAAAAAGGTGTTGTATTCCTGGCAGCAAGAGCTAAATGAATTCATTTAGCTGAGACCTCCCTACATGGATGATACAACCTTGTGGTGGCGGCTGGCCTACAGGGTTGTGTCATAATAGAGTTCCACCAGGGCTGCACGGCTCGGAACTTTCAGAGTGTCCTAGCAACCCCTCCTAACACTCCATTGCTGTTGATCAGGTGGGGTGTCCTTCTCTTCCTCTGCCTGCACCAGTATGTCCTGTGGTTGTTTTGACTCTTGGTTTATGTGAGGCGTGGGCCTTTGTGCTTCGCAGCCGAGATGTTGAACCTGAGTTTTCTGGAAGCAGGTGCTTGTGGCTGGTTAAGACTCCCAGGCCTGAGAGTGTGTGCAGGAGGATTGATTTGGAAGGTGCTTCATGTGTAAAGAGTTTGTGCACGGGCAATGCTGAAACTGGCCAAGGGTGTCTTTGGTTTGGGATTGACAGCTGCAGAGAGATCTTCATACTACAGCACCTTTTATGGATAGGCTGGGGGGGGTTATGTGGGGTCTTGTGAACCAAAGCAATCACTGTACTTGGTGACTGTCGGTAGATTTAACTTGCCCTCTAAGTCAGTTTTCTTAGCATCAGAAGCGCCTTAATTTTTAAGTAACTTTTCTTCCACGCTAAAAATATTTCTGTAGCACTTGGTTAAGAGACTGAGGAAAGTTGGGTACAGATAAAGTGAAGTAGTCCTAGTGCTTCTGCCTATCTGTCTGTGGTTGAATTCTCTTTGCGAAGCCCAAATTGACATTGTTTTCTGAAAGGTTTGTGAAACGTTAACAGCACTGGGATGTTTTTTTCCAGCATATATAGTCATGGAAAATCAACACAAAACTTAAATTACAGTCAAAAGAATAATAACCAGCCTGTTGTCTGAGGAAGGCTGTGAACTAAAAATGACATCATGTTATCATGCAGGGCAACTGAAGTGTTATTAAAAACTGACATAATTTCTTTCTGTTATCTTACTACGATCTTTAGAATTCTTTCTTTCCCACTAAAACAGATTTTTTTTTCACTGTGTTCAGCAAGAGGGGAAAATAAACCTGCAAACAGCATGTTTGCAAATCCTCAAATGGTTGTGTTTAAATATCTCTATAAAAAAGCAAACATTGGGCCTAATTCTAAAGTAGTGTTCAAAAGTTTGGCTAAGTGTCAAAGACTGTTTTGTGTGTACTATATTAAAATGTCATACTGATTGTGTACTGTTTTAAATGGGGTTTTTTGCACTTGTCTATCTTTGCTTTTATATGTCAACTCTTTATCTCAGCACTGCAGAAGCAGTCTTGCAAAAAATGGACGACATGAAGAAGATGCGTAGAAGGCAAATGATGGAAGACCTTGGGGTGTTCCATGATGCAGAAGTAGATACTGATTTATTTTACTATTTTTTTTATAAGTGGTATATTTCACAGAGGGAAATTATTTAGTTGTAATTTTAACGTAGCTGAAATAACTTCTTCCAGAGAATAGAGTAGTCTAAAATAATGTTTGGTTTTGCTTTCTAATTATAATTTAACATCCTACTGTTATGGTCATGCTACAGATACCCTCTAAGCAGGGAGGAAATACCTTCTTCAGGAGACATGAAATAGCAGTGATATGCTGAAATACATGTACTACGCTCTCTGAACTGTCTTACGATTTTTGAATGGATGCTCTTTACAAACAGCTGTTTCAGGGCTTGGGTTTTCACTTCACATCTTACTAAAAACTGGATTCATTGATGTCTGCTTTATCTGTGTTTGTTCTTCTGCCAGCCTTGCCTGTGAGCTTAAGTAGTTCCTCTGTCCCTAGAGGAACTTGTGTTAAAATGACATACAACCTGCAATTAACTGATACACTCAGTTTTGTACCTGCATGAGTATTTAACTGTCACATGTACTAAACCCTATTTTAGAGCAGAAATTCTTGTTACTAATCCTGGGGGCCGGAATGATGTTCCTATTCTCTCCTTCTGTATCGTAATTGAATCTTTTGTGTATATGGAGTGCCTTGATAATGTTACTCTATAGGCACCAAATATGCCCGTGTCAGGTTTCCTGCATATTTGTGACTGATCTTTCTTGTTTCTTTGAATTAGGAAAACCTTAATATGTACTCCCGAGGAAAGAAAGAAATCCAAAGAGCTGACGAAGAAATAGCTGATAATCAAGGTGACATTGTAGATTAGTTCTGTTTTAAATTTTCTTTACTATGCTCTAGCCAAAAGCCTTGCCTTAGACAATTGAGATGAGCTGAATACTGGGTATTTTTCATCTATTAAAATAATCTGTATTGCTATTGACATTACAGGCTAGAGTCATGGGCTCTAGGGCTCTAGTGTAGTGAGCTCAGAACAGGTATTCAGAGGAAAAAAAAATCTACTTTTCCAAAATGCTTACAAGATAAAAGGCAACAGATGGCTGTGGACAGGCAGGAATACAAAGAAATGGATGGTACTACTCAGAATGAGAAAGAGTGACCTCGCTACAGCAGGAGCATGACAGTTTTCATGGTTTTGTCCCAAAGGTGGGACAAGGGGGAGGTCTTTAGGTGATTTTGAGAGGAACAGGAGTGGGAAAATGGAGGGGAAAGGGGATAAAAAGGGCTAGTGACCTGTAAACAGTTTGCTGGTCAGTACGCTCAACTGATGGCCCTGTGCCTGATCACCTGTCTGACCATCAGAACTGGAAGAAGAGATGATTTATGCAGTACCCAGGGAGGGCAGTATCTCGTTCATGTTACACAGTCTGTGTGAGACTTGACCACTGGCAATGGAGAGCTACAAAAAAGTTCAAGCTAGATGTGCAGGTGTTAATGAGCACTGGGGGGATCTTGTTCCTACTCATGAACAGGCCAGAGAACAGTCTGTGGCTTGTTGTTAGGCCTGTTCTTAGTTCAGGCCTAGGCTGTGGCTCCCAGGTGCACACCTCGGTGATCAGACCTCCCTGTAGAGCAGTGAGAGAACGCTTGGAGGAGGCCAGCGAGAGGCTGCCCTGAAGACACCAAGGTAGGGCAAGGCATTAACGAAGAGAAACACGACCAAGTGTGCCAAGGGCATTTGACTGGTAAGGGAGAAGGACAGCTGACTCATCAGTTGAACATGCAGTTAGGAGAATATCAGCTCAAGGTTTTAGTAAGAGCAGCTTTAATACAAGGCATGGGCAGTCGAGAGGGAGGAATAGTATGGCTTGGTTCAAGTGCGCGGATCTCAGGGTCTTGGGCAGGAGAGACTTGTAGAAAGTAATTAAAAATCGTAGGTCAAATGGGAAATAAGAGCATGGGGCAGTTCATTTGTGATCAAAGTGAAAACTCTGGAATTTTAAGTTAGGAAAACCCTAAAATGTTCTTTTATAATGTGTCAGTGTTGGTGTAAAGAAGATGAGTGGAGCAAAGGGAAGGACTAGAGGAGCAGAAAAGCAGAGAAATGAATGCCTTTGGCCCAAGAGTGGTGTTGTACCAAGGACTAGGGATGGTAGTGGTGCCATTTTTCAGTTTTCCATGTGCTGTCTATGTCTCTTGTGTAACTTACCTTGCATTCAGAAAGCACTGCGACCTTTTGGGGGGAAGAAAAAAAAGTAGTGCTTTCTGAGGAATAAAATTTACTTAATTTTAGTGAGCAGGCGGGTGAACAGAGCATGTACATTCCTCACCTGGTGTCCAGCTATTAATGTGAGAGGGTATTATTAAGAACCTACTAGATAATTATACTCGGTGTTTTGCATTCATACCATCTCTCATGAAGAATCTTCAAGTTATTTTACAGAAGCTAGTGGCATAAACTGTAGGCATTTGACATTCTTAGTGGTTTTTAGAAGAGCTTCATCTTGGCTAAGCAGGATGACAGAATTGTTGCTAAGACTGATGAGAAGTCACCCAGCATCTTCACCGAGGGCAGAACAGTATCTATATGTGTGCTCGTCTGTGTTTTCTAATTCCTGGAATGTGTCTTGCATAAGTTGGTCTCAAGGTTTTGCAGGTTGTCAGATCTATTGTGTCATTAACGTGATGGTACTAGTAAAACCTATAGGCACCTGTGTAGGGCATGTTGAATTTAGTATCATTTGCAACTGTACTTAAACAGTTATGTCAATGTGCAGGAGTTTTATCAGAAGAAAGTGAAGAGAAAGATGATGATGGTGAAGACACTCGAAAGCGTTACGACTTTCGACAGAGGAAGGCTGTTGAGCGCTATCAAGCTCCATTGGCAAGTAGGTGATACGCACAGTTTCTCTTCAGAGCCATTTTCTTGGACATAAGTGAGAAATTTTTTTAAATAAAAATGCATACACACACTCAACTTCTGTTTAAATTTCTTCCCTGCGTTCTGCAAGTGAATTTGATTAGATACATGTATCCTGTGCACCTTGTATTTCTTTACCATTTGGCATACTTATTGTTGGTTTTCGGTAAAAAAAAAAAAAAAAGAGACCTCTGTATCCTTGAAAGAAAAGTAATTAAACAGACTCCATAATCTTACCTTTGTGGTTTTCAGTTCTGCTTAAAGAGCAGGTATGTGTGTTTTCACTTCTGCTGTGCACTGTTTTAAAATAAAAAGCCGCCCCCAAATCACTTGGAACATCCCCTGAAATCAGAGATGGGTGAAACACATCGCATATTCTGCCTCTTTCGCTATCCTGCTTTCTCTTAAACTTGTTCGTAACATTATTCTAAATTCTTTGCTTTCGACAGAACCAAGACCACGTAAGATCTATTTTTCGGGCCGGTCTTCACCTGTCCCACAGAGATACTCATTTAGAAGTGCTCAGTCTCAAGGCTCTTGCTGCAAAAGAGCGAACAGGTTGGTGTACGGTTAGCGATAGTTTTTATTTATCAATAGAGCTGTCAGTCACATTGCTGAATAATGCTTTCAAGGGGGTTTGGACTGGTGGTAGTTACAAATTAATAGTATGAATATCGCTGTGGTAGTCTGAAGGTGTAAAGAAAACAAATAGCGGGGGGGGAGGCTACATTTTTTATTAAATTTTTATCAGATTGTTTTAAAAATGCAGTATTTGTGGTCACTGATAAGGTGATGATGGAGGTTGGGACTGAGACTGTGTAACTGATACTCTTTTATTCTGGAATTGATGCCAGAATCTCTCTCTGAAAATTTTACACTATTTAATCTTGAAGGATAAAAATGATTTTCTTAAAACTGGAAATCATTTAGTTAGAGGGAGAGCCTGTATGGAACTTTTAATGGATTTTTTTTTTTAATCACTCAAATACTGATTCTGGTTTCTCTTTGGAATCAGTTAATGTTTCTGTATCCTTAAACAAGAAAAATGCTAATTGCAGTGATAAATTATAAATTATGAATTCTAAATTGCAATAGTAATGACAGCAGAATTTTGGCTCCTGTAAGTGGTTACAGCATGGAGAATACCGTCTCTTGCTCAATATGAGCACTTTGTTTAGCAACCTTGAAGCAGACACTTAGGGAAGGAAGGGTTTTTGAAGCCAAATTTTTAAATAAGTTAAAAAGGTTTATGTTTCACAGAGTGGATACTAATGCTAACTGAAACTTGACCGTGTGTGTGTGAGAGAGAGAGATTGGACAAAATGAGTAATTTGTTTATGAAATTTCTTTGCAAAATAGTTCAACATTTTACCTTCCTGAGAAAAGTTAAATTTTACTGTCACGAGGAAAATCATGTAATGTACTTGGAAATCTGATTCATAAGGAATACAATGATCTGGAAACATAATAGATCTCAAAGTAAATTTTGAGATGGAATTCACTTAAATTTTGATATTATTTACTGTGTACTTTAATGGTTTTACTTGTTTGTTTCAATGTTTGCAGACAGAGACATGCAGTCCATAACAGCGATTCCACATCCTCGTCCTCCTCTGATGATGAAGAGCATTTTGAGAGGCCCAGGAAGCACAGCCACAGCAGAGATGTAAGAAGGTGAATGAAATGGGAGAATAGAGGAGGGAAGAATCTACTTGGGAGGAGTTTGCCTACCCATGAAGTGTTCTCCTCCTCATCTTGTACACTTCCTAAGTTGAGGCAATATTTAATCATATCCGTTTGTAGTGACACCTGTAACTGGACTCTCTAAAACTGGACTTTTGGAATTGATTTTTAATAAGCAATTTGATTTCTAGGTGGGAATGGGGGGGCGAACACTTTCACGTAATTTTTTAATGTAAAATTCTACTGCTGCTGTGCTTTACGGTAGTTCATTCAGAAAGAAAAGCACCGTAACAGAAATTGTTCTGAACAGAGGAAATGACAGAGGTTTTCGTACTAACAAGTGCTCTAGAAAAACTATTTTAATAACAATCTAACACGTTTTCAGCCCGACGTCTTTCAGACATGGGTGTCTTCTGGCACACGCATGCCAAAGTCCTCAGAAAGAACCAGCAGTGGTTGGCAGCCTATGCAATGTTAATCCACGCGGAAATAAGTATCCCCTTGGGCTGTAACTTTTTGAATGTAGAAGCAAAAAATCTTTGGGTTATGTCAGTAGGTTTTGGGGGGTTCTTTCATCACACAAATCAAGGTCAGTTCACAGTCTCCACCTACGGAATAACTTGTTCTAAGCTTGCATTCATATGTGTGCGGCCTTGACTGTCGTGGATATTGGTAAGTTCTAAGAGCTGTTCCAACAATTAACTCAGTTTAGTTTCTGTAGTGACTGTTTTATTTACTCATGGGCATTAAAGGTAAAACAATTTGACGAAGATGTTACTATTTAGGAAGTTGATGCTCATTTATAATGTCTTCTGCATTCGCTTGCTGTCATTACAAAAGCAAAAATCTTCTAGCTGCACCTTCCGTTAGAAAGCATCTTTCTCTTTCTCCTTAAGTCCAATCAGGTGTCTTCCGCTAAACTTTCGGAAAGATGAGTTAAAGGGAATTCACAAGGATCGAATGAAAATTGGAGCAAGTCTGGCTGATGTCGATCCAATGCAGATAGATTGTTCAGTAAGTATTTTTAGGTCATTGTGTCAGTGAGATGTTTCCATATTTATGATGCTTATGAAAGCTTTCAGAAATCCCATCTACAACGGCCTTGGTTTACAGTTTTCTTTCAAGCCAACTGAAAGTTGCCCAGAATATTTCTTTTGTGCTGACATGTAATTTCTGATGGAACCTTATCGAGGTTGCAGCTTGCTTTAACATATAAACTGTGTTCTGTTGAATTTATCTGTAGGTGCGATTTGATGGCGTGGGTGGTCTTTCCGACCACATTTCAGCTTTAAAAGAGATGGTCGTTTTTCCATTGCTTTACCCAGAAGTCTTTGAGAGATTCAAAATTCAACCTCCCAGGTAACAGACATTGTTTGAAACTATGAATTCTAATTCACCTCTTTTCAGGAGAATATTCAACTGAGGTATCACATATGTTTCCATGCTTCAAAATTTTCAGCAGCGTTGGTGGGCTTTTTTAGCAGTAGTAAAAAGTAATTTCTTAAAACTTGATAGAATCCAGAACATGTGTAAGTTCAAAGAGTTACTGTGCGGTAAGCATATACTTTAAAAGTATCTTGCCTTTAAAAGGCGGGGTTGGGGTGGTTATGTTTTGGGTTGTATGTCCAAGTCAACTTCATCAGTTTACAAGCAGGAAGGAATTATCTAGTGGGAGTCAACTGGAATTTGTTTCTTGCAAGTCCAGTTGTCTCTCCCACCGACTCTTGTTTTTTTTTTTTTTTTCAAGAGCTCAAGTATCGATTTTGCAGTTGATATGACTTGGAACTAGAACATTGCAGTGTTTGTTGTGCTTGGGCTAAAGTAAGAATCTGTCCACTTCTTACACAGAGAAATTAGTTTTGCGTTATGAAATGAAATTATTAGAGAAATATTACTTTAAATTATTCGCGTTCAGTAACTTCAGGAGTATTCCAAATAATGATAAAAATCGGTGTTTTGCTTCTTTATCAACTGAAATTCTTTTTGAAACAGCAGCGTATTGGCCTTCCTAGGTGAAGGCTGTATTTATCTGGAAATGCAGAATACCCTCCCAGCTTTAGACTCACTTCTTGTTTATCCAAATCCAGTAACTTAAAGTTTTTTAAGGGAGAATGAAGCGCTTCACTATCAAATCTTGCCTTTTGTGAACACAGGAACGAATATCCAGTGTATCATTAAGAAATGAACTGCTGATTCGTTAAGTGTCAGCCCAGTCTCAGATTCTGCACTGGAGTTTGTTCTTGTTTGACTCCACTGTGCTGTAACCACCCCTGTTAATGTGTCAGCAGTTTTGGAAGTGTCCTCCTGGGACGCTACGATCTTTTCTCAAGGCTTGGTACATCTGGGTTATCCTCTTTCTTCATTTTATTTGCTGCCTTGTTGAATTGTGTAGGAACACAAAACCTCTGTCTGTCTTGACTTTTTGCACCCTTCAGCTGTTCCTGCTGTCTTCTAGATGAAGTGTTTGGTTTAGGAGAGAAGTGTTGTATGCTTTAGGGATGGGGGTTGTAATAGATACTTTGCCATGATTTTTTTTCGTTTATGTGAATTTTTTTCATTTTCTGTTTCAATTGCAGAGGCTGTCTGTTCTACGGTCCACCAGGGACTGGAAAGACACTGGTTGCTCGTGCACTTGCTAATGAATGCAGCCAAGGTGACAGGAGAATAGCCTTTTTTATGAGAAAAGGTGCCGACTGCCTGAGTAAATGGGTGGGGGAATCTGAACGACAGCTTCGTTTATTATTTGATCAGGTAAGGTTGAGATGTGCCCTGTGTTCTGTCCGAGCTGTAACTGTAATTTTCTGTGGGTCAATATTTTGGAGAAGAGCTCGCTCCATTTCATGTTTTTTCAGTTCTTTCCACTGAAATGGGATTGTCAGTGTCTCCTTTTTCAGTGGGTTCTTGAGGGGCTTGAAATCTCGAGATGTGTTGGGAAAGATGAATGAAACAAAAGAGAAAACTTCGCAAAGCAAACCCGCACCCCCTGCCTCAAAACAAAAAAACCAAAAACCCAAACAGCCACAAAAGACGCAAGAGATCGTGACTTTAGATCAGAGGGAAACAGATGCAGGCTGAAAGCAGGGCCCTTTGAATTCATAATGGAAGCTTGCTTCCAGAACCTGTAATGGACTTAAGTCCTGGCTCTGCATGTACTGGTATGATTTGTTCCCTGCCACCTAGTCTCAGTAGGCTGACGTAGACTGCTGTCTTCTGTTACTCGTGCCACTTCTCCATTAGCTGAATCAGTAGATATCCCTGATGCTAGTCTGAAAAATCTAGTTCCAGTGACTTTCCAACCATAACGTTTTTTTTTGCAATTTCTCTTTAAAATAGTGCTGGTTTACTTCTGTCAGTATTCCTGTGTTTTCGTTCCAGGCTTACCAGATGCGACCTTCGATTATTTTCTTTGATGAGATAGATGGTCTTGCTCCTGTGCGGTCCAGTAAACAAGACCAAATTCATAGGTAGTACATTTTTTGTATCTACATAGAAGCTGCATGGCCTTTGTGAAAAGAAGACCAAAACCTGTTTAACTTTATGTGATACATTCATTTCTCCTGCAAACGAGTAATTCAATGCTACTGCATTTCAGGTGATTTTTAAACAGTAATTGAAAACAATTCACTAAGCTTGATATCAGCACAAGGCCTGTGCTACCTTATTCATTTTTTTGTCTTAAAATGAATCTTTCACTCATCAGTATCTCATCAAGTCAAAGCTTGTCCTTTTTGAGTGATCATTGGAGAAGGTCGTGTAGAGTGTAACAAAATTTACTAACCTAGTGAATGAAAACTGTGTTTTTCTGTTAGCTCTATTGTATCAACACTTCTGGCACTTATGGATGGCTTAGACAGCAGAGGAGAGATTGTGGTAATTGGAGCCACCAACAGACTGGATTCTATAGATCCTGCTTTACGAAGACCTGGACGCTTTGATCGAGAGTTCCTCTTCGGCTTGCCAAATAAAGAGGTCGGAACTTAAACTCAGCCTTAACGCTAATGGGGCAAAGCCCATCTTTATAACAAAACCACGTACCAATGCAGTGTCACAGAGCAGTGGAAGTTGAGAGTACAGTATTGTGCAGCTTGGACAAAAGGGGGATATCTGGAGAGACTGTGTTGCATTGTGGAGGGCAGATCTGGTACTGAATATATGTGATTAAGGTGATTTCAACAAGTAGTTAGTTCTATAATTAGTTTTGGTTTGACTGTGACCAGACAAGGAAATGGGATGCTGCTAGTAAGTGAAATGTTTAGAAAGAATGAATGTATGAATTAGCTACAGATGAATGAACTGGCAGAAAAGCAAATTTGATGAACTTGTGAGACTGTCACCATGAAATTTTGCTAAATTTGAGAGAATTTTCTGTGATGAAAAATCTCTATTTGTGGATAAGTTTTTTTTGGTTTTTTTTTTACTACGATTTTTTGCTCAGGACCATTAGGTCTCCTACTTGTGGAAGCTTACTTGTTAGGGAAGCTACAGATGCCTTTTATTTCACTGCAGGCTCCCAGAAGGAGTTTAATGTAACAAGTTGAGAGTTATTAAATTTCCTGCTTGAAAAAGCAGAGAGGATATTAACTGAACTTTAAAATAGTTAAAAGTTTAGCAGATCAGAAAAGTATTTGTACTAATGTGAGAGTTTTGGGGATTCTGTGTTGTGTTTGGGTTTTCTTAAGAGAAAACGAAAATGGAACTGTTTTATTTACAGGCTAGAAAAGAGATTTTCAAGATTCACACACGAGACTGGACCCCTAAGCCATTGGACACATTTCTTGAAGAGCTGGCTGAAAAATGTGTGGGTAAGTCTGAACCAAAGTGAGTTACTGCACGTGACTGAGTCCTAAGGAACCTGAGCCTGTACCAGGCAGTACCCGAGCTCTTGTGCCGTGCTGCAGAGTGAGGCAGCTGGCACGCCTTGGGAGCCAACAAAGTGAGATGCTTCTTTTCTTTTACTTTTCTTTTTGTCTCTCAGAACATTGAATGGGTTTTGGGCATCTTCCTCAGGAACAAAGTGTGGATTAGGAGGCTGCTTCATAAGTGCAGGATAACAGGCTGCAAGCCCTGTAACAAAACTCCTCTGCAGTGCAGTAACTCTTTAAATTCCCTCTTAAGCTGTTACTTTTTGGCTGCATACAAAGTCTTTCAGTGTTGCACTTTAGAAACCTTGGCTTGACTTCTGTCTTGGCTCAGACTGACATACCATTTGATTCTTGTTTTGTTTACTAGGATACTGTGGTGCTGATATTAAATCCTTATGTGCTGAAGCTGCCCTCTGTGCTTTGCGCCGCCGCTACCCTCAGATCTACACCAGTAGCGTGAAACTGCAGTTAGATCTCGCTTCTATTAACATAACAGCAAAGGATTTTGTCACGGCTATGCAGAAGACTGTTCCAGCTTCACAGAGGGCTGTGGCTTCACCTGGGCGAGCGCTATCACCTGTTTCAAAGCCTCTGCTTGAAAACACACTGGCGAGAATTTTAAAAGCCTTGCAGAGTGTATTTCCCCATGCAGAGCTTGCACTAAAGGAGGACCACCAACAAGGTATAACAATAACATCCACTTCTTTAAAATTCTGCCAAAGCAAAAACTTCTGATTTGTGCAACCGACGCCCACAAGCCTCTCAGCTGTAGTGACTGGAGGATTTTGTAACACGCATGGGCCCAGCGCTGGATGGGAGCCGTGAATGGCTCCCAATGTGCAGCAGAGAACCCTGGGTTCTCTAGTACAGCACCCTGTTTCTCTCAGTGGGTAACATCGTATTTATCATTTGAAGAGAGGGATCTAAGGTTTAATGTATGAGGCAGCTCTTTCAAAAGAAGTATTTAAATGGGGTGAGCAGGGTATCACGTGAACACTTCTCATTCCTGTCTGAAGAATGTCAAGACCACAATCCAAGTGGTTTAAGCTAAATTCTGTTTTAGCTATCATGATTTTTAACCATAGTCTCTTAATTGAACTTTGTGGATCACCCTGTACACTTGCACGTGAAATCAGAATGTTTTAGTTGTCTGTACTTCGGGGCTTGGCTTAGATAGCGTATGTGAGCTCATGCTCCTGACTGCATCAGCCCTGATCCGGTTTAGTCTGTCAGTTGGCGAGAGTAGATAAATTTAGAAACTCCCTCCGTTCCTGATTAATGGAAGTCCGGGAATAGTCAGTTATTATGCTGATCCCTGGAGAATATCCTACCAGTATTGCTCCCAGTCGAGCTGGTAGATGATTTGTGTTGGTGAAACAGAGGCAGAAACACACCAACAAAACAAAAGCAGAGGGGCTAGGGGATTGGTAATTGCAGGCCCCTCTGTCCACCTTCCGTTATCTCCTCCTTCGGTGATCTTTGAGGAGCTGTATTTAGAAGATATATTGGTCTGTATATTCTGACTGACTAGTCCTAAACAAATGGAAGCATTCAGCAGGTGCCCTCAAATGACGACATAAAAGAGAAGTGGTTTCCAGCACTGATTTAGAGGCTGTATTAATGCCAGAGCAAGATATGGACTATTCAGGAAAGTTAACAAACCTCTCTTGTCTTTCAGACAGTTTAAATCCTATTTTAAGAAATGATGTGATTGACAGTGATGAGGAATCACCATCGATCTTTGAAGATCAGACAACTCATAAAATGCCTGGTGGACAAAAGGAGAAATTCCTCAATTTTAGCAGGCAAATGTTTGTCCCCTTCATGTGTACATTTTTAAGATTCGTGGGTCTGTAAACAGTTTTGGTGTGAGGGGTGGTAGGTGAAGGAGTAGAGTGTATGTGGGGGGTGATCGATATTTGCAAGCAGTACGCGTGAAGATGCAGCTGAGTACTCATGTTCTAATGGAGTACACTGCCATGACCCATCAAACTGAACAGCCCAGCCCTCTTTTTGTAAGTCAAAGTGGTCCACAGACCATTAGCACGTGTTGATTTAATCCATGGTATTCCTTGAAAGACACAAGAGCAAAGAAAAGTGCTGTCTGTCCCTTTAGCTAAAAAGCCCTGTGGATTTGTGTAGCCATCTTTTGCCCTTCTGCCTTCCAAGATTGTTAAACCAGTAGCGAATTATGGAGCAGAAACAAAATTGAGAAATGGTGTGTTAAAACACTGTGAGAAAACCTAAAGCGGTGTCTGCTTTTTGTACCTTTAACCTACTAAATTTATGTTAATCTTTTGACATTTTAATATGGAAATCATAAAGCTGGCAGTTGAAAAAGATAGATTATTGTTGTCACTGTTGGGTCAGTTATTTTTCTCACGTGCTGTTGCTGTGCTGTCCAGAAAATCTTCTAACCAGCTAAGCTTGGTGAGGTCTCTAGGGTCTTTGACTTTAGCCAGTAAAGGTACAACAGTATTGTGGTGGAAAAAACAAATGCTCTTGACAAAGATGTTTCATGCTGATAAAGCGAGATTACTAGGAAATTAATACACAATTCAAAGATGAAACAATTGGAATGACTGAATAAAATAAATACGAATCTTATATGTATTTAGTGAGCTGCTGTAATTTAGCCAATCCAATTTTGTACTTCTTCAGGTACAGCTAACGTGTTTCAGTGCCCACATTAATTTTTTTCTAGAACTGTTCTACTCCTTCCTTCCCACTATCTCCAGTAACTATGACCGAATTTCGGCTAAACTTGACAGATGTAGAGATGTCTCAGTTACTTAAAGTCAAGACCTACTGAAGATTGGTGTGTGCGGGTGGTGGAGAGATCCTGATTGGTGTGTGCTGAGAGAGAGAGAGTGGTTATTCTTCCCCATGTAGGAAAAAACTTGAACATCTGCATGCCTCTTCATCACTTTGTTTTTAAACTTGTTTTCTTCATATTGTTCTAGAAATGCTTATTACCAGCCAACATCCTACAGGCCACGGTTCTTACTAGTTGGAGAGCCAGGATATGGGCAAGCGTCTCATTTGGCACCTGCAGTAGTACACGCCCTGGAAAAGTTTCCAGTTTATACACTAGACCTGTGCAGTTTATTCGTTAGCACCACGTCACCAGAAGAAACCTGTGGACAGGTATCTTTTTCTCTCTTTAATCTCACAGGATGCATGAACTGCATACAAACTAGTAAAGTAAGCAAAATTCATTGTTTGTGGAGGTGGCCTGGTTTGAGTGTGCTGTTATGTTTACTTTTGTCTGAAAATCCACTTCTCTTCTAGATCGAATGATACCAAATAAGGCTGTTACACATGGCCGTCATTTCCATTCCGAATGAAACAGTGAGGTTGTTGCTAGCAGCTCGGGAAGGTGCTGCTAATAAACCCCTCTTGGTGGCAAGAAATCCTACTGGTCTTGGTAGGATCCAGAAAGTTGTTTTCATTGCTTCTTAAGAATCTGTGCTCCCAGTAGATGGCTCTGCATCAGCCTGACTCTGTGTCATGCACTTTTTGTAGCCTTCTTTTTCACTGTATTTGTGAGGCAATCAAGGTTTTGGGGAAAAAAAGTGTTTCTTTTTTTTACATAGACATATACAGCTTGTGCTGCTGCAATACATGCAGTAAAAGCATTAAAATTCTTTGAACACTTCCATTTGTATGCTGGTGTGTTTTTCTTAACTAGGAGAATTAAATACAAGCAGATTTAGTGCTGTTTTCCGTTTTACTTTTAGGCAGGAAATCCATTTTGTTGTTTGGCATCTCTGTATTATAATATTTTGACCTTTAGGAGCAGTATTTGAGAGCTGTACAAGTAAGGACAGACACATCACATGACTGGATACTCATTTGTCACAAAAGATGAAGAATTCCTTTTTTTTGTTACATGATGCTTGCATCTGTGGTCGTATAACTAGCATGTCTACTCACTGCCCAGATATACCACGTGTGCTTACTCCCTTGTGACAGGAACTCCCCAAATATTGATCATGTGAAAGGGTGCACAGAGAAATTTGTGGTTTGTAAGGGCTGGTGCCACTTCCCTCATGCAGTAGATGCGTGGCCTCCTCTGTGATTGAGGTACCATCTGTAGGCAATGGTTCGTGGTCTTCCAAAGCATGTAATCTGGTCTGATGGATCCTTTGATAATGAGAAGCTGTGAGTGATTCAGCTATTCAGGTAGGCTAAAGACTGGTCACCTCCTAGGAAATGTAGTTGAAATGATGAAGTGTGACCAGGCTTGTTTTACAGTGTTAGCCCTCATCTTGTCAGAAAGGTCTTTGTTTGTTCAGACTTGTGCTCCAGACTGACTTGGATATGTGCTCGCTCGGAACTGAAAATGGCGTAGTCGCAGCCGGGTAGCGATTTACGCAGACTAATGCATCTTGCTGAAGGGTTAGTCTTGTTTTATCAGGCCCACCATCACGGCTGAGTGGTGAGGCTCTTCAGGAGTGATCTTGCATCTAAGTAGTTTTGAAATCAGGCAGAGATTCAGGTCTGTTTCTGTGTGTGGCAATGTCTATATTTGAGACAAAATGAAAATTGTACCTTATTGTTAAGGAGTTGTTGTTTTGTTGGTTTGTTTTGATGTTTTGGCTTCATGTACTCCTATTTTGTAAGATAGTTTCGCTGATCCGTAGTTATTTATGAGCCTAATCTACACAGTTCAGTTTTCTTATCCAAGCTTTCATTTTACCAGTTGATGCGAGAAGCTCAAAGAACAGCACCGAGTATAATTTATATCCCACATATCCATTTGTGGTGGGAGGCTGTTGGAGCTACACTGAAAGCTACTTTTACAACACTACTGCAGAACATTCCAACATTTGCTCCAGTCTTGCTTCTTGCAACATCTGATGTGTGTCACGCAGATCTCCCAAAAGAGGTATTTCTGTCGATACTTTTTCCTACTTTTTTATTCAATTTCTTGTTAATGTATGGATCCTTTAAGCATTGGAGTACTGTGCACTCGTAAGCACGTTCATACTGTTATTACTAAGGCACCCTAACCAGGTCTCTTAAAATTTGCTTCGATGAAACAATGTTGAAAGCATTCATTGTCCTGCAGTGTTTTCTGAGTGAAGAGATTGACTTTGACCCAACTTTTTCTCCCTTCTCACGCACTCATGCTTATTAGACAGAGGTATAAATTTACTTCAGACAATAATTCCAGTGACTTCAAGATGGTTAAGTATGTGCTTAGTCAAGAATATACAGTGCTTGAAATGTGAATATGAAAAAGGTATTTTTACTGAAAAGTGAAAGATACTTTTACTGAAAAAGTACAGTGGTCCCACTGATAATGATGGAGTGTAATTTCAAATTTAAATTCTTTCATAAAAATTTCAGTTTCTCTCTTCATATAGGTGAAAGCCTTACAAATTAGAAAACTAAGTTCCAACTTTTGTTTAAGTAACTTAGCAATAAATGTTTAGTTGTATTCCTTAATGAAATTCAGTAAGAGTACGTGCTTCACTTTCTAGACATCTGAGCGTGTGCGTTAAAGGAGAGTGTTCAAAACGTGAATATGCTGCTCAGATTATTTTGTCTCAGTTACTGGGGGGGAGGTGGTGGGGGCTTACCTAGATGTGTTTATCATCAAATGTTTTGAAAGGGCTTCACTTTTACAGAAGTTTTTATACAATTAATAAATTCCTTCTAAAATAAGGAAATTCCTTCCATACGTTTTGGTACTAGAGACTGAAAAACAGAGTAAAGCTTGGATGTGTGCAACTTCAGACACCTCATTTAAATTAATTTAAAAAAAAAAAAAAAAGGCAACAACAAAACAAAAAAAACCGAAACACAACGGTAACTTTCGTTGGTTCCAGCCGCCTGCCATAAGGTTCAAACTAAAGGACAGCAAGGCAGTTTAGTACGAACCAAGCAGTCCTGGAGGTGGTGAATGTCACCACTTTACCAGTGTATCTTTATGGTCCCTTCATTAAGCTTTACCTCTAGAGGTGTTCCTTAGAGAAGATGTTTTAATTTGCCATGCTAACTTATGAAAATCTAGGCTTTTAAGGCTAAAAGATAACTTTCCACAGTTTGTCTTAGCCAGATGATTACTCAGTTTAATTTAGAAAGGTAGTCATCTTTTTGGAGTAGAATAGGAATTTGTGCGGCCTTAGATCCGAAATCTTTTCTCCCCGTGCTTTAGATAAAAGAATTGTTTGTGAATGATGATGAAGTTTTCAAAATCCAGTTGCCTAATATGGAAGAAAGAAAAATGTTTTTTGAGGACTTGGTTGTAAATCAAGCTGCTAAGCCTCCTGCATCCAACAACGCAGGTGAGGATATTAAACTCCATATAACACTCTGCTAACTGGAAGTTAATAGCTATACAGTATTTGCTTTGGTGCTAATTTTCTATCAGTAGAAAACTTTTCATATGCTTGTGTCCTGGTTTTGCTGAGGTAGACTCTTAGGGCAGTCATGGCCTGCAGGCTGTTAGCAGTTTCCAGCTGGCCAGGAGCTTGGGCTAGGAGGGGCAGCAGCCAGGACAGCTGAGCCCAGCTGGCTCACAGGGGTATCCCGTACCATAAATGTCACGCTCCTTATAAAAAGGGAAGGTTTGCTGAGGATGGGGGGGAGGGAGCTTCTCCCTGCTCCCGAGGACTGCTCCCGTGTTGACTGTGACCATCATATAGTCACCGGGCTACGTGTAAGTTTGTATATTTTTTGTTGGCCTTAGTGCTGTTTCAGCAAATGTGTTGTCATTTCAGCCCCTGCGTCTCCTCTCCTTTTCCCACTTCCCCTTCTCGGCTGGGGAGGGGTCACCAGGTGATAGAGCAACTGCTATAGTTCAGTCCCAGCTATGGGCTAAACGTAGGCAGCTTGTATTTGAGTCCCATCAGTTGACTAAAAATTTCTGATTAATTTAAGCTCGGCAGCCCTTGGAAGTACTGCCTGTAGCACCACCGCCTAAGCCTCGACAGCTGACGGAGGAAGAAATAAGACGGCTGGAGGAGCAGGAGGAGGATACGTTGCGAGAACTTAGGATTTTCTTGAGGGATGTGACTCATAGACTTGCCGTTGACAGACGTTTCAGAGCATTTACAAAGCCTGTTGACCCAGAGGAGGTAAATCAGTGTTGATCTGTAATACTATTTTATACGTGTGTATTCATAATTTCTCTATGTGTGTATTTCTGAGTGTTTGCATGCTTTTCATAGGAAGGTTTATCTTTGTCTTTAGGACCATACTGTTCTGGTTTTCAAGAAGCAGGAAGTGAATTTTGCTTTTACTTTTGCTGACTCCTTGAGGCTCTCAAGTGTCTGTTATTTGAGTATTCACTGAAAGCCCTGTCTTCCTTCTGAAATGCCTTTAGAATATTTCAGTTGCAAGGGACCTACAACGATCATCTAGTTCAGCTGCCCCAAATGCAAACACAGTTTGCTCACAAAAAGGCTTTGATATGTAGGCATGTTAACAGCACTGAAAGAAAAGCAGGAGATCTCTTTCTTTATAATTATAAACTGTATCTATAGGACTATTTTAATAAAGCCTAAAGCTCTTCAATTCTCTGTCATTAGTTTCTGTGAGAACAGGAGTAGAAGCAGCAGTTCTTAAAATAAATTTTAAGATTCTGTTCTCTGTTTCATCTGGGGCTCCTTAGTATGAGATCAGCCATAAGGGCTGTGTGGCTGCTTCTTCCTCCCATACGCTTCTTCTTATGTCTCTTTTTCTCACTTAATTTATTGAATAAGCCTAAGCCAGGGGCATATACTTCAAAGTCAGTTGTATTTTTAATAGAGCTTTGCGTTCCAGCAAAGTTCTGTTCCCCTAAGCGTCCACTGGCTTGTCTTTCCCTTTACTTCTAGTGTCTGAGATGTGAATAATCTAAACAAACATACATGTCCTCATTTAAACTAGTCATTAGGCTCCTTTTATGGTCCGAGTAAAGCAATCGGCACCTCTGGGTCCAGTTATCTCATTCTAAAGTAGATGCCTAGGACAGATACTTCAAAGGTGCAATTCCTGCAGCCTTTTTCTTGCCGCCAGCAACAAAGAGAATCTCGAGTGACTTTACCAAGAAGAGTTTCTCTGCTGTGATTTTCTGAAGTGAAGTGAAATGAATACCACTCTGGGTGTCTGTTCCCTTCTCTGCCCCACACGTGCTTCTTTTTTTCCCTCTTGTAGTCTGTCTCTTCAAAGCCAGTTGAAATAGCTCTTCTATTTCCAAGAAACGGGTTAATTTCTGCTTCTTTGGATGTGTCATAAATATTTGGGGTTTTTAAGAAGTCCTTTATTTGACTTTATGAAAATAATTGATTTTGGTAGATACTATGTTAAATCTCTGAGCACGTGTATTTCATTAGCAAAGCCTTTGACACTGTCTCCCACAA